GACCAGAGGAGACAGAAGACCAGAGGAGACAGAGGACCAGAGGAGACAGAAGACCAGAAGAGACAGAGGTCCAGTGGGGAGCAGCCGTGCCACCTTTCTCCTTCTTTTTCTTCCTCCTCCTCCTTCTCCTCGTCTTCCTCCTCCTGGTGCAGTCTCTTCGTCCTCTTCTCTGGTTCCGCCGGTCTTCCAGTCCAGGACAGATTGACACCGGAGCTGACGGAGACAGGAGACAGACGACTCCAGAACCATGGGAGACCTCCTGGTCGTATGATGGTGGTGATTCTTTTGACCAACTTTGTCTCCTTGAGCTGCGTACGTCTTTGAAGAGAGACTCTGGTTCTGAGTTTGGATTAATCCGGGTCACTGCAGGAACCAACCATGACCCACATGGCGCTGGAAGTGAAGGAGGTAACAACAGAGCCGGGGTTTGAACAGATTCACACATGACACTAAAACACAGATCTGAATTATCACTGCACGTCTTTCCTGGACGTTTGCGATGACGTTAGCTTCTTCTTCTTTGGTGTCGTCCGGTTCTGACTTCAGGGTTTCCCTCAGCAGCGTCGTTCCTAGAAATGTGTCAGAGAAAAGACAGCGACTCAGTGACTCGTTGTCAACTTTTAAATGATTCGTACTGAGAAGGAAGTGAGTTTAGGTGGTGTTTCTTGAATTAATTTTTAATTTAGTGTTTTTCAGTGTTGTTTACATAAATGTACTGAACAAATATAGGACAGTAAAATGGCATCCTGGCCCAGCAGGTGGCAGCACATGGAAAAAGATTGGTAAAAAATTACAAAATAAAACAATTCAAATAAAAATATATAAAATCACATACAGTAAAGTAAACTGCTTAAGTGTATAAAACATAAATATTATATATTTTTTTTGAACAAATCACAAATAACCTGCAACTTAACTAAATTACTAAAAGTTAAAATATGAATACCGCATCTTTGGTCTCGATTTAGTGCCCCCAAGTGGCCAATTTTATTGTCAAAGTAACAAAATAGAATTTAATGCAACGCTAAGATGTTAACAACACCTAAACTATTCTTTTTTTTAACCATCCAATAATTGAAGGTGCTGAGTGATGTCCTGCAGGTGTGTGTGTGTGTGTGTGTGAGAGAGAGTGCAGCAGCAGTGGAGGTACAGTAGAGGATCCGGTGTGTGTGTGTGTGTGTGTGTGGACGCTCAGGTTTCTCTGGACACCTGCAGCCCCCTAAACGTGTGTTGCCCTGGGTGACGTGCAGTGTCAGTCAATAGCCCACGAGGAGTGCTATCTCTTTCAGCAGCCTAACTGCCACTTTGCGGCGAGGAAACTGGATCCTGCACGAACACAGAGCACAGACAGACACAATGCAGCACTCTCCACTCCACTGATGGTCACGGAGACTCTCATGTTCTCAGCTAGCCTGGTATTTTTACTTTTTTATAATGTGGATTTTAGGTACTTTTAATTACAGAGGATGTAGGTACATATGCAGCCCTGCGGGGGGAGCTATAGAAACTGTGTTTCGGGAAGTAAGCGCTGCAGTCGGATGTTGTTGTATTTTACAGTATTATACTCATTTTTAACAAAGTTTTGTTGCATCATTCTGATGTTTGACGTTAAAACAAATGTCGGATGTGAACTCGTTGGCGAGTGGATGAACACATCCTCAAGGGGTGCTATATGTGGAAGATGGCTTTGTTGTACGCCTTACATCGGCTCGTGCTACATTCGCTTTCTTTCATTTGTGTCGTTCCTTTAGGAATTTTTTTTTTCCAGTATATTTGCATTTAAGACACCAAAAACAAACAAACAAATTAAAAAACTAGTAATAACAAAATAGAAAATCTTTAGCTGTGAAAAACTGTCACTGTTTTAAAAATCCCCAAATTAAGAATAACAATCCAAATTGTTATTTTTATTACCCAAATTAAGAATAATTTGAAAAATAACAAATCAAAAAATAACAATCCAAATTGTTATTTTTATTTATTTTTTTGCTGGATCGTTGCTGAATTTAGATCAAACATTTTATTGAGTTAAAGGATATGAGATCATTATTATTTTAGTCTAATGACATGATTAATATTCTGCTGGTCGAGCAAATAAATTCTTATTTTCTTAAATGGAATTTTACATTGTTGGGAATCATTTTTCAGTTTTATTAACATACAGCCTGATTAGATGTCAAAAGTGGGCCGGACCAGTACAGCATAATTACCAATAAATAACAATAAGTCCGTGTTTTTCTCCTTTGTTTTTCACAAGTACAAGTTTATATAGAAAATATTCATATTTAATGAAATATAATTTGACCAAACGTCACAAACATGAAGTGCAATTTTTTTTCACATTCAAAATTCATCAAGTGGACCTAATTGAACCCCACATTGGGCCAGTTTTGGGCCGCGGGCCGTATGTTTGACTCCCCTGTCGTGAGCTATCTTCACCCACACACCGTCCCTCGCTCTCTCTCTCTCTCTCTCCCTCACACACACATTTTTTTACCAGTTTAGAACGGAGGTTATCTTGTTTTTTCGTGGTCAGGGACAGAATAATGAATGGTTTCCTACAGAAGGAAGCTGAGGACGTGATCTGGAGGTGTTTCCTGTCACACGTGTCCTTATCGAAAGCTGATGTTCAGTTCACACACACTCACACACACACTCAGGCCGGGGGACCTTCAGGACAGGTAACGTCTTATTTTTATTTATTTATTTATTTTGTGGTAAATATAAGGTTGATTTTTAGGACTCGACTTTTGGGACAGACTGTTTAGATGTGTGACTGAGGAGAGGAGGTGGGGGTGTCGTTGGACCTCAGACTGACGGTCACCTACTCCACCTTGGTGACTTGGCAGCGCTGAGAGCCGAGCTGCTGAGGCCGAACACTCGCCGCCTCTTTTATCACCGCCGTAATTAAAGTGCATCGCGTTGGCTGATTATTTTCACTGGCACTTTCTCAGAGCAAATCCGCTGTTCGACGGATGTCACCACGGATTCAGTTACGTTACGTTCATCCAATCTAATTACACGTGGACTGGGCTGATGATCGTTCTATATTTTACTGAGTGGAATAGAAGTCTATCCTTAGTAGGAGCAGAAACATCTGATCTGTAATTTGTGCAAAAATAGTTCACATTGCAAAAAAAAATATATAAAAAAATTAATAAAAAATAATAAATGAATTCATGAGATAAAAAAAGGATTTTTGTTATTTTTGATGAATTCCAAATATAAAGCAGCGAGTTATCGTTTCTGTCCTGAACAAAATAAAATCAACAATCAAATTAAAAATACAGATTAAAATCAATAAAACTATATCTGGCTTTTTAACAAAAAATAAGTTAGAAGAGTTACATGAACATAGTACACAACAGGGGGCGCAAAAGGGTCCAAATAGCAAGTAAAATAAAAACCAAAGATACTGAAATGTGTTTGTTTTTCTAATGCCATCAGTCAGACCGTGACAGGGACAAACTGTTGATAAACAGTTCTGTGGAACCCACAGTGGTTTAGATTAGATAGTCCTGGTCAGACCTATATGGGCTGGGCTGTCAAGAATGTAGTCCAGCTCTGATTGGACACCACAGATATGAGAAGAGACAGACGGGACGTTCCTATATTTATAAACATACTGATAACTGGGGGGAAATAACACGAGGCACAGTGTCAGTGTCTCCAGTTCTATGGAACCAGGAAATACACCGTGATGTGTGTACACCGTGATGTGTGTACACCGTGAGGTGTGTACACCGTGAAGTGTGTACACCATGAGATGTGTAAACCAGGATCAATCTGGACCAGGTTGTTGGGTCTGTTCTTGGGCAGTGAGGTGATGCCAAACGGATGTCATTCGAACTTTAAACCCAAGAGAATATGAGTAAAAGTGGTAGTAGTGTGTAGTCTGCGTGGCAGATGGGTTCATGGTACTGTTGGAGAGTGGTTTTTATCAGTGATCAGTCCTGAGTCACGTTTTGTTTGCATTGATGACGGACAGGGTGACAGGTGAGGGGGTCCAACAGTCTGAAGTTAGAAAAAGTTAGAGCCAGAAGGGGGCGACAGATTACTGTTACAGATTAGTGTCAATAGGTGTGCGATACATTTAGACCTTTTATAATTCATCTTCAAAGAAATTGACATCTTTTCTGATTGTAGTTCTTTCCTAAAACATCTGGTTATGATTTTGCTAAATTAGAAAAATAAATATTTTTTTACCAATATGTATTTTAAAGCAGGGGTACCCAACCCCTGGTTTGGGGACCAGTGGTGGTCCATAGATCATGTGGCTGCAGTGGGACGCAGTGAAAAAATCTACTTCAGTTTTACTAATTTACTTCATTCCAGAATAATCCAGTCATATCACTTTAATGTTTTCATTCAAAGATAATCTGTCAATGTTTCAGAACAACAGGTCAAAGGTCATTCAGACTCTGATACTGACAGAAGAAAGTCTGAAAGTCTGTGAATCCTTGACCTTTCTGCTGTGGTGTGTGTTCCTGATCTGGCTCAGAGCCTAGAGGATCGCTGTAACCGGATCTTGAGGAACATGGAGGCCTCCCTGACCGCCCGGGATCGCGTGGGCATCCAGGATTTTGTTCTCTTGGACGCCTACACCAGTGAGACCGCCTTCCTGGACAACCTCAGGAAGCGCTTCCACGAGAATCTCATTTACGTGAGTCTCTCCTTTCAGGTTTTCATTTCTCGTAACCAGAGCCGCGCTGCCGTGTTTTGATTAAATTTTACTGCCTTGACCTTTGACACTACAATGTTCCTCTGCCGCTTTGACTTGTGCTGAATCAGCAGCCGACGTCCTTTTCCTTCGCAGCGCAAGCACGACCGAGGTCACCGCTGTTTGTCAGGTCATTACGAGCGATTAAAGCCAACGATTGTTGTCAATTAGAGGAACAAAATGGCTGACGGGACAAACCCCAGGGCAGGAGGACATTTCAGCGTCAGGTCATTGTTGAGGTAAAATAATCACCCCCTCGTCTTCACCCGCAGACCTACATCGGGACGCTGCTGGTGTCGGTCAATCCGTACAAGGAGTTGGACATCTACAGCAAAAAGCAGATGGACACCTACATGGGCGTCAACTTTTTCGAGCTGCCACCTCACATGTAAGAAACACCAACGTTACTCCTCAGGAGGTTGTGTTAAAAAAAAGTTTGAAGTCGGCTGATCGGTCGCTGTCCTTTCAGTTACGCTCTGGCAGACAACGTCTTCCGCACAATGCTGTCTGAGTTCAACAACCACTTCATCCTGATCTCAGGAGAGAGCGGCGCTGGTAAGACCGAGGCCTCCAAGAAGATCCTTCAGTTCTACGCCGTCAGCTGCCCAAGTACCAGAGTCCTGAACAACGTTCGAGACAGACTGCTGCTCTCCAATCCGGTGCTGGAGGTCGGTCACAAAAACCTTCTGATGTTTGAATCATGTCATGTCTTTTTTTTTCTTTTCATGAACTATCTCTGGTTGGTTCGTTGAAGGCTTTTGGAAATGCCAAAACCCTGAAGAATGACAACTCCAGTCGCTTCGGGAAATACATGGACATCCAGTTTGATCAACAGGTAAAAGTCAAAACTCACTTTCTACTGAACCTCATTCTTGATAGAGAACAAACGGGACAGGATGTGACCGACTACTGTATGATTGATAGACCAACCATCTAACCCTAACCCCCCCCACATCCACTTCCTGTCGTTAACAACATCCATCAATCCTCTTTGAGGTCTTCCTCTGTCCCTATTGACCGTCAGCTCCATCTCCAACATCATTTGTCCAATCTGTCCAAACCATCTCAACCTCATCTCTAACAACTCAACCTTGGATGGATGGATGGATGGATGGATGGATAGAAAGAAGGATGAATGGATGGATGGATGGGTGGTTGGATGGATAGAAGAATGGATGGATGGATGGATAGAAGGTTGGATGGATAGATAGAAGGATGAATGGATGGATGAATGTATGGATAGATGGATGGATGGATGAATGGTTGGATGATAGATGGATAGATAGAAAGATGAATGAATGATGGATGGATGTTGGATGGACAGATGGATGGATGGCAAGATGGTTGGATGGATGGATAGAACTTTCATAGCAGGACAATAAAGTTCAAGCTGAGAACAAACCTTAAAGGTTAAAGGTCACCTTGTCCCTCAGGGTGGTGCTGTTGGCGGACACATACTCAGTTACCTGTTGGAGAAGTCTCGCGTCGTTCACCAGAACCACGGAGAAAGGAACTTCCACATCTTCTACCAGCTGGTGGAAGGAGGCGAGGACGATCTCCTTCTCTGGCTCGGCCTCCAGAGGAACTGTCAGCAGTACAGTTATCTGGTGCAGGTCAGGGTCGCGAACCCATCTGGGTTGGAAGATAAGAAAAAAAAAAAAACAAAACAAACAAAAAAAACGTCATTGTTGTTCTGTCCTCCAGGGTGATTGTGCCAAAGTTAGTTCAATCAACGATAGAAGTGACTGGAAGACTGTTCGGAAAGCCCTCTCTGTCATCGACTTCTCTGAGGCCGACGTCGAGGTAGTGACCTTTTCTGCTCAATCCTCTAGACTTGTTTTTTTTTTTTGATTTACCAGATTACAAACAGGTTTTCTCTCCACACGCAGCATCTGTTTGGGATCATTGCCAGCGTGCTGCACCTGGGGAACATCAGGTTCGATACAGACGCTCTCGGCTACGCTACACTCAGCAACAACCAGGAAATGCACTGGGTGTCAAAGGTGAGAGGAGGTTCTCAACCTGAGGTGAGCCGAAGGGCCACTGTTACACATGCATTCACAGTGAAGGGCCAATAAACAGGCCGGGGCTCAGACTGTGTTACACTGACATCAAGTCACATTTCAGACCGATGGTTTAGATCAGAACTGGGCAAACTACGGCCCGTGGGCCAGATACAGCCCACTGGGCTGTCTAATCCGGTCCACCAAACACTGGTACCAGGTCTGGTAAAGACGACTGATGTCAATCCTTTTGTTTAATGCATTACAACAAATTAACTGCAATTACTGTTGATGCCACTAGATGGCGGCAGACATCAAATCTGCCAAATTATCTTTTTTTGTTTATGTTTATTCTTGTATATTTATTTCAAAGTACTTCACTCAGCATTCTACCTCTAACCAATACTGAACCGGTCCCTGTAAGACAGATTTCGAACCTCATTTTGGCCTGTGAGCCAAAGATTTCGCCCAGTCCTGGTTTAGGTGATAATTTTAAACTTTTGGATTCATGCAGTTTTCTGTTGCAAAACTCTACTTTACTACAAAAATAATATTTCATATTGTTAAAAGTATTTCAATTTTTTTTTTTTACAATTTTTATACAAATGTTACTACTTTTGTCCTTTTTTCTGTGCAGTTGCTGGGGATTCCTGCTCAGGTGCTACAACACGGTTTGACTCACAGGAAGATTGAGGCCAAAACAGAGGAGGTGACTTGACCTCTCATGACCTGTAGTCCATAACTGAACTAGCATCATTAGTAATGAGTTATGGTGGCGATGTTTTAATCCTGAAGGTGTTCAGCCCCTTCTCCGTGGACCACGCAGTTTACGCCAGGGACGCTCTTGCCAAAGCCATCTACGGACGCACCTTCACCTGGCTGGTCAACAAGATCAACGAGTCACTAGTTAACAAGGTGAGGTTCCCCCCCGCTGGGACCCGACCTGTACTTTGACAACCACTGCTGTATGACAACCATACAAACCACATGTTTCAGCGTGTGGCTTGGTGTATATTTATGTTACACTTAGTTCATAAAACATATGAAGAAATTCTGTTTAAATGTTGTAAAGACTGGAGTGCAGTTTTTTCTACTCCCCTGTGAGGGGTGCTAAAAACACAGAATGAGAGAACTGTCAGAATATGATTCTATATTCACTCAGTCAAAGCATTTTACACAAAATAAGAAATACATTTTAACTTTGAGATGAGTGGTTAACAAGTGGAATTGCAGTGAAATGTTAGACTGAGGGAGTATTATATGTAGTACAGTAGTGCAGTAGTACTTCACTACAGCAAAGCCATATTTTAATTTGAACTACAAATAAAAAATTTCTTCTTCTTCTTTATGTTCTGACCGCTGCCCCCTTCAGGCATGGCCTCATACTGTAATCTTTAAAACTGCATCAGTTACAGACATTTTTTTTCTACTACTACAAGTATTTATCACTCACAGTAATCTCTGTCCTTCTTTGCTGGTTCAAACTAGGATTCCTCCAGAAAGACAGTGATCGGTCTATTGGACATCTATGGGTTTGAGGTTCTCAATGTTAACAGGTGAGTAGATTCAATCAATCAATCAAACAATCAATATATCTATCTATCTATCTATCTATCTGTTTTTGCAATGTTACTCCAGTTTCTAGAAGATAAATAAATCAGATGGCGCTACAGTAGATGAAAACCTTCATTTTAACTGGTTTGAAAAATAAAATTTGATGGTTGAAAAACTTGACCAAATAGAACATAACTTGTGAAAAGCTGATGGACGTCTAAAAATCTGTCTCAGAACGTTTTGACTAACCACCGTACCTACTTTCCAAACTTTTCGTATTTCAGCTTTGAGCAGTTTTGCATCAACTACTGTAACGAGAAGCTGCAGCAGCTTTTCATCGAACTGACCCTCAAATCAGAGCAGGAGGAGTACCACCTAGAGGGCATCGAAGTAACAACACAACCCTTCACCTCAAACGTTCCAAAGACAAATACCTAAAGTACTGCGATCGTTGACATTAAAGTGAACTGTTTCCGATGTTTCTCACAGTGGGAGCCAGTGCCATATTTCAACAATAAGATCATCTGTGACCTGGTGGAGGAGAAGTACAGAGGAATCATCTCAATCCTGGTAAATCTGTGACCTGGAACTTAACAATTCTTCTGTGTCACGAACTGAGAGAATAATTCCTCGATGCTCATTGGCCAACACAGGACGAGGAATGTCTACGTCCGGGAGAAGCAACCGATCTCACCTTCCTGGAGAAGATGGAGGAGACGATGGGTGGACACCCACATTTCGTCACGTGAGTTCAACGTTAACGCTCAACAGGAAGTGACGTAAGTATCTCGGTGACTGACACCGATTTCTTCTTCGCTGCAGACATAAACTCGCAGACCAGAAGACCAGGAAAACAATGGACAGAGGAGATTTCCGCCTGTTGCATTACGCTGGAGAAGTGACCTACTGTGTCGTAGGTGAGCGACCATACAGATGTTTATTGGGTAGTATTTGGTACACAGAAGAGATACCAGATAAGATCTGCCAAACCAATAGTTTATCAGTCAGTGAAGACTCATCCAGGTCAAGTTATCCAAAGAGTTTAGTTTTCAGCAACTGGACTTCTTCTTGGACCTTGGAAGACATTTCATTCCTCAAGAGAGGAACTCCATCATTTTCTGGTTGATGTCAGAGGGAACCCCAGTAGTTATACTATAGTTAGACCACTGTTTCTCAAAGACTGGGTCGCGACCCTCAGGTGGGTTGCAAGAGATTTTTTTTTTTTTGGGTCGTCTCGCACCATGTTTCCAAGGACTTTACGAATAATGTCTATTGACTTGGGTCGCGAAGGTTTGTGACTTTTAAAACATGGGTCCCCAGAAAAAAAGTTATTTCCGATTCCGATTTCCTTAAATTAAATACTTCACTACAATTCAACAGACGTATGAGGAATAAATTCTCCTAAATTCCTCTTTTTCCTGAACTTGGCTGAACAGTGTGGTCTGTGCTGTCGTCACAAGAAGAAGAACAAAATACTGAACCTCTGATGTCTTTACTTTGAAAGATTTTTTTGTTTTAAAAACATTTGGACTGAATTAAAAAGGCCTAAAAATGTTTTTTTTTCTTCTTTTCTTGTTCTTTCTTCTTCAGGCTTCTTGGACAAAAACAATGATCTGTTGTACCGAAATGGGAAAGAGGTAATTTTGATCAGAAGTCGTATTCGAGGCAGTGAAGATTTAAGATTTGTTGACAAATCCTATGCCCATATGTACTGGAAGAATTTTCCACTTCTGCTGCTGATTAACGTAGAAATGAAAAGATAAAGTATCTTCACAGACAGACCTGTGTTTGAAACCCTGTTCCTCAGGTCATGCGTCGGTCCAAAAACGCCATCATCACTCACTGTTTTCCTACCACTGAGCCGGACAGCAAGAGGAGACCGGAAACTGTAAGACAGAACACATCATACTCATGAATGTTTCTGTGGTAAATTTTGATCATACTTTGACTTTTATATTTATTTTATTTTATCGTCTCTTTGAAACTTGAAACGTTTCTCAGGTGGTGACTCAGTTTAAGAGCAGTCTGGTGGGACTGACTGAGATCCTCATGTCCAAGGAGCCGTGGTACGTCCGCTGCATCAAACCCAACGAGGCCAAACAGCCAGGTGAACTGAAGTATCCGTAGATACTTTTGTGTGTTGCAGTACAACATTACGACCACGTACTTTGACCCGTGAGCTGGTCACCAGCGGCTGCTCTGTGTCCCGCAGGTCGTTTCGATGACGTGTTGGTCCGACACCAGGTCAAGTACCTGGGACTGATGGAACATCTGAGGGTCAGACGGGCTGGCTTCGCCTACCGCCGCAAATATGAGATCTTTCTGCAGAGGTCTTTAGACACACACACATGAAATTAATGAATTAATTTTTTTTTTTAATTTAAATTTTTTAAACACGCATGAAATTAATGAATAAATTTTTTTGTTTTAATTTAAATGTTTTTAAAGCTATTTTGGACTTGTCTTTTTGTTATCTTCTGTAATTGTGCTTTTTTTAAACAGTTTTAACCAGTATGGCAAAAGTTACCAAAATATTTCTAAACTTTAAAAGTTGTAACTAGTATGGCAAAAGTTACCAAAATATTTCATTGGAAATACAAATGTCTTTAAAGAACAACAAATTCACAATTCCATCTAGGACTAATTACTACTACGAGCTCTTTGTAAACTGCTTCTCTGCTGTGTGTAAGGCAGGGGTGTCAAACATACGGCCCGTGGGAAAAATCCAGCCCACTCAAGGTTTCAATCTGGCTCGCTTAATAACGTTTGAAAAATTAAAAAGAAAATACACAAACACTTCATGCTCAGAAAATCTTGATATGAAAATTATATTTCAGTAAATATGAAGATTTATGTGATGTACTGTTCTGCATAAAAAGAAAGGGGAAAAAGAGACTTTTTGTTATTTATATGTCATTATAACATGATTGTACTGGTCCGATCCACTTGACATCTAATAAGGTTGTGTGTGGCCCCTGAACCATGAGTTTGACACCCCTGGTGAGACCAAAAACCTGCTGTGTCATTAACTTTAACATTGGTTGATTTCAAAATTATATTCTATCTATCTAAATCTGTCTAAATATGAACAACAGCTCAACAGTTGAGTAAATGTGGCCCTGTGCCCAGGTATAAGGCTCTGTGTCCCGACACTTGGCCCAACTGGAGAGGATCGGCAGCAGAGGGTGTGCAGCGGCTCATCAAACACCTGGGCTACAAATCTGACGAGTACAAAATGGGCAGGTGAGCATGACGTCGGTCTCCGACCCTGATGCCGCCCCGATGACTCAGCAGAAATGACCATTTCACCATCTTCTTCTTAAAGAACCAAAATTTTCATCCGCCATCCCAAAACGCTGTTTGCCACAGAAGACGCCTTCCAGGAGTGCAAACACAGACTAGGTAAGACGTCGTTCTGTCACAACAACAACAATAACGCCGGAGTCCGAACCTCGTTCTCATTAAATGTCCACGAATGCAGCGACAAGGATTCAGGCCAAGTACAAAGGCTACAGGGTGAAGGGCGACTTCCAGAAACAAAAGGAAGCTGGTGAGTTTGAAATGATTTATATTTAGGGATGTCCGATAATATCTGCCGACCGATGTTATCGGACTGATATTAGCATAATTATGTAATATCTGAATGAATCGTTATCGGTTTATCCTCCGATAATGAAAACCCGATAAAGCAATGTCTGGGTTTTGCCAAATGATGCATGACTTAAAAGTAGTTTTCGAAAAAAACAAACAAAAAACAGCTATATGTGAAAGTGAAAGCCACTAGATGGCAGCATTGCAGCTCATTTAATTAATCAGTGGACTGTAAGTAGAATGCTGGTTTGTACAGACAAATAAATAAATATTAGAGTAGAGTAGGGCTTTATTCATCCCCCTTGGGGGAAAATTCACACCCCTTGGGGGAAAACCATTACCAGACCCTTTCAATTTGGGGAGGGGGAAGAAAATGCTTCTGTCCTCTGGGGGGGGGCATGGTAGAAAATAATTGAGAAACACTGCTTTAACCCATCACCTTAATAAGCAGGCTGCACTTCACTTCCTTAACCACCAGGACACCACTGCCCCGCTATATTGGTATTGGTTGATATCGGAATCGGATAATATCGGCATAACATAACACAATATAAATGTGACTTATATTTTTCACTCGTCAGCCACTAGGATTGAAACCTGCTGGAGAGGCCTGATGGCCAGGAAAGAGAGGGAAAAAAGGGCGTGGGCCGCCAAGGTCATTAAGAAGTAAGTGGTCACGGTGCGTTCGCTGCAGTCGGACAGAAATGTAACAACGAGTGGATTTGGAGACATGTTTTTCGACTGGTTTTAGGTTCATCAAAGGCTTCATGACCAGACACCAGCCGATCGGTGCGGACAACAGCGAGTACCTGATGTACGTCAGACAGAACTACCTCACACGCCTGAAGGACAACCTCCCCAAAACGGTTCTGCACAGAGATGCCTGGCTCACCCCCCCACCCATCATGCACGAGGTAGGTCAGACAAATCAGATCAAATCCAATGATTTGGTCAGAACTCTGTAAAATCCCATCATCTACTGACATGGTCTGTGAACCTCACCAACTGACATGGTCAGTGAACCTCACCAACTGACATGGGCTGTGAACTTCACCAACTGACATGGTCAGTGAATCTCATCCACTGACATTGTTCTCTTCAATAACAGAAGACAAAAAAAAGTCCCATTTCTGTGCAGAAACTCTGGAACATCACCATTGATCTGCTCTGGTTAAACTGGTCAAACTGGTCTGGTCTGGTTGACCTGGTTAACTGTCAATATATGAAACAACAACAAAAGAAGATGAAGAGAAAAAACAGGAAGTGGAAAGAGTTCCACTGGAGAACACTGTTGGCGTCTGTGGAACAAGTTCTTCCCACGTTCTGTTCCGACACCTGAATGTCTCTTAGCCTACGTAGGGGTTTGACAGTGGGTCACAACCAACGGTTTTAGGGGCATACTGCCACCTAGTGTACAAGAGTGTGTAGTGTCATGGTATGACCAGTAGAGTTTTCAGCTGGTATAAATATATATATATATATATATTTTTTTAAAGGTGTCCCAGATCTTGAAGCAGGTCTACATTCGTCACTTGGTCCGGAAGTATGTTGGAGGAATCAGCCCACAGAGGAAGGCTCAGGTACAACGTACAGTTACAGTTAAATGTTAGTCCTGGTCCTGGTTAGTTAGTCAAGTTAACTAACTGGATCCTTTACTGGTGTTTTAAGGTTCCAAAATAAACATAATTAAAATAAACAAAGCAGTTTCTCGACATTTCCTTCACACTACTGTGTTCCTGTTTCCAGCTGATGTTAAAACTTCAGGCCAGCGTCATATTCAAAGGGAAGAAGGAAAGTTACCCCTTCAGTGTGAGCAGACCTTTTCTGGACACCAGGATAGGTACCACGGCAGAACCGACATTTTCTCAGACAATAATAATAATTTAAAAAAATAATTAATTAAACTAAACCTTTCGTTATTTCCTCCATCTGTTTCAGGTACAGACAACATTAGCATCAAAGTTCTTCAGATGATTCGACAGGAACAACTCAAGGTAAACGAGCATCATTAAAAACTTTTATGTACATACATTATTTCTTCTTCTTCTTCTTCTGTCCACACACCAGTGTCCCGGTGGTCAAGTACGACAGGAACGGCTTCAGACCTCGACTGCGGCAGCTCATCTTCACCATGGAAGCCGCCTACCTGGTGGAGGAGGCCAAGATCAAGCAGAGGATTGAGTTCATCAGTCTGAAAGGTACGACTGGTAGATGATGGAAGGTTCGGGAATTCCATCCGTTTGTCGATCAACTTTCCACCGTATCTACGTCATAAACGCCAGAGCAGGAACAAGTACAGTAGGGCTGTTTCGATAACATTTTAAAGTAAAAAAAAAAACGTATCGTAAGTCTTCGCTGAGGTCCTCGGTACGAGACGTCCCGTACTTTCGTACGCCAGAGGTCCTTGGTACGAGACGTCCCGTACTTTCGTACGTATAAGATTATTAACAAAGTCTTGTTTCATCATTCCGACGTACAAAAGTTATTAACAGAGTCTTGTTTCATCATTCCGACGTACGGCGTCATAACGAATTTTACACAGGAGCTAGTTGATGAACATGTTGTCATGCGGCGTTATATGTGGAAGAGACGTCTTTGTTTACATTCGTTGGTTGTGGCTAATCATTGGACTGTGCTCCATTCACTGTCTTTCATTTGGGTCGTTTTTTGGGGAACTTTTTGCCCTTCATAATGGCTCCCAGGCGTTAGTCGGAATCTGACGTTTTTATGACCTAGATTATGATGTCACCACTGTGTCAGTGTAGGTGAGTGACAGAGGTACCGATGTACAGTATGTGAGTTCCGTAAATCGAGTTACATCGTGCTGTAGGAACGGAATTCCGACGTAAGTTGTTGACCCTTTGTATTTACGTTTTTGTACTTTCGTCTCAGTCCAACATTTCCCAGCCTTGCCAACAGTTTGGTACTGTTTTAAAAACACATATGACACATATTATAGTACATAAGGAGTACACACTAGGATTGTGTTGTGGTTTGTACTTTTTGTACGCAGTACTACTTCACTTGCTTTAAATTACAGGTGTGTCCGTGAGCGACCTCAGTGACAACTTCCTGATCTTCCATGTTTCATGTGAGGACAAGAAAAAGGTGAGGACAAAAGTGTGTGTCCTGAACACTTGGACGCAGCGGTGACCTCTAAATGACCAAGGAATTGCAGCAAGGAGACTTCAGTGTCAAATGTCCTGACCCACAGACTCTACAGGACTGAACATGAACTGCGGTCTTTGTCTTCTCAGGGGGATCTGGTCCTGCAGTGCGACCACCTGTTTGAGGCCCTGACCAAACTGAGTGTAATAGTCAGCAACCAGAACTTCATCAGAGTGGTCCAGGGCAGGTACGAGACCCCCAGTCTATGTTTGAAAACTGCACTATACTGGGACAATATATGTATGTATTGTCACTAGACGGCACCTCCGGTGGTAGCCTGTGTCTGTTACAAAGACTCGCACCATGAATTTCCCAAATGTGGAAGGAATAAGGCACTAATATATTTTTTAAAACATTTCAAACACATGTTGAAAAAATTATATATTTTTTTGGTCAAATTAATTAATTTATATATTTTTAATTAATTTAATTTAATTTATTGCATTAATTAAATTCTGAAAATTAATTATGTAAAAAAAAAAGAGACGCCACCATTTGTCCAATAATTCCACGTCCGTTTACGTATCTTGCTACGATAAACAAACAGGTTTATTGGTTTAAATTTGTTCAAATTATTGTTTAAATTATCATTTGCACCAATCATGAAAAATAAAGGTTTTAGTTTCACCAAAGCATCTTGAGTGGAGGGTTCAACTCCAGGTCAGAGCAATGTTGACCTATCTTAGTAGATTAATCATAATTGATCATACGTATTTATTTAAATTAACTAATTAATTGATCTTGATTAACTGTCTCTAATCCAGGGCTGCCCTTTGATTAGTCAGAGTAAGAGTTTTATCTTTTTTTAAAAAATTATTTATTGTTGTTTCCACAGTGTGAGGTTTGACATCCAGCCAGGCAGAGAGGGCTTCGTGGACTTCAAGAGTGGGCAGGAGTCCATGGTGTACAGGGCCAAGAACGGCCACTTGATGGTGGTGAGTGACCGGAGTGTAGACGACAACGACGACGACGACGACGTCTGAATGTTCTGGGTCGTCAACCAGTGACTGGATTCTTTGTGTTTTTCAGGAGTCGACCAGAAACAAGACCAGGATGTGACCTCCAGTCCAGCCCACTGTGATTCCCACCAAACATCAGCCACGCTTCGTCCGAACCAACGCCCCCTGGCTGCTGCCAGTCAATACTACATTTGTATTTTGTTTCCCCTGTATCTTCATTCGTAAACTTAAAGAAAACAAAGTATGGCGGAGGCTAATACTGCTCACGTACTGCCAACATTTTAGTGATTAAGGAGTTCGAACCCTGTTCTTCCTGTTCCTGATATTTGAATTTTGTATATTTATATGAAGTAAGTGATTCCAGCACAGATTACTGTAGTAGTACTCCTCCGTACTTCATTAGGAAAAAAAGGCACTTGTTTTTTTTTTTTGTATTAATTATTGTATTAAAATGTTGTTTAGATTTAAACAGTAGACAGATGTGTTTAGCCATACTTGTATTAGTGTATAACGATACCTCACACACACACACACACACACACACACTGGTCCTTTACATTAAATTGTTTTAAACCAGAACAAACTGTGACTCTGCAAGATTTTTATCACGAGTTTTTAAATAGAAAACACTGTCAGGAATTTTCAGGCTGCAGCGCCATCTACTGACTAATAATCCATGTGAATAATAAAAAACATTGATAAATAATAATAATGTGGATAATAATAATTATAATAATCTTCAGTAAAATATTCTATTTGGAGGTTTCAAACTCAGTATGTGTACGGTGGAACGCTCCATTATGGTATATTTATTTTCCATTGGCAAACTGTAGGTGGCAGCAGACCTGAGCTGAGGGGTGAGTGAATTATATTAATTTTATTTGCATTTTTTACAAAAGGATTAGAAGTTGCAGCATATATTTATACTGTATATTTATCAAGTATATCAGATGTAGCAACTGTTAGCTTAACTCTGGAAACACAAATATAAATCACAATATAAAGATTTGAGTCGGAAACAGAACGGGAGAAGCTGGGAAAACATAGGAAAGACTGAACTGTGAATTGAATTTAAATTAAATTAAATTAAATTAAATTGTCAATACCTGGGAAAATTCTTTCTTCAAAATTAAAAAAAAGTTTAAAAACTGGCCATGAATGTAAGTAAAAGTAGGAAGAGAATTTTTAGGTTCAAAAATATACGTAAAAAAGTTTAAAGTTAGACAGAAAAAAGCTGATGTTAACAAAAAAAAAACCAAGTTTGTACTTTCAAGAAAATGTTCAAAAATACTATTTTTTTCTTCTGTTTTTTTTCTCTTCTGATGGTGAACTCACAGTTGACGTGAATATCTGGTGCGGCCCCTGGTCCACAGACCGAGACCGTCGCTCAGCAGCAGAGCGACTCTGATCCACACGACTGCCGTCAGTGTCTGCACGACAGCAACTGTCTCCAAAACAAGTAGAGATGATGATGTTAAAACACAGATTACAGACTACCCCCCCCGATACCCCCCCCCCAGTGAGGAGATCATCAGTAGATGAGATGGTGAAAGGTCATCTTACGCCCACTGCTGGCTGATGATTAAACCCATGTTTGGGTGATAAAGAGGGACAAGGTTTATAAAACCTGCTGAGTGGAGCTGCTCGTGCCTGGTGTGTGTGTGTGTGTGACTCCGTGTGTGTGTGTGAGTGTGTGGCAGCTGACAGTTCCACCATGGAGCGACTTCCACTGGTCGTATTTGTTCTTTTGCTCTCAGCCGTCTGTGGAACATCAGGTAAGAAACGACGGAGGTGAAACGTCGAAAATATAAAATGAAGATTTTATTTTTATGATTCGTGGATTCATTTATCCGTACGTGACGACAGGGCAATCCTGTGAGGACAACTGTGGAGGTAACCTGGGCTCCTGCTCCTGTCACACCACATGTGGGTCTCTGGAGAACTGCTGTGAAGACTACAGAGAGTACTGTGTGGAGATCTACCCCCACTCTGGGACTTACTTTGGGGGAACTGACATCAAAATCCTCAACGCGACTTTTAACACTTCTCAAATCATATGCAGGTGAAACAATAATTATGTTACATTTTTAAAATGTGTTTTGATGTTTCGGATGATGATGATGATGAATAAACAGTGAAAGGAATCTAAAGGTACATGTTCTTCCCTCCATCCCCTCCAGGGGCGCTATAAACAATATTTGAAAGGTCTTCATTTTAACAGTTTAATATAAATTTTAATGATAAAAAATATTACCATTAAAACATAACTTAAAAATATAATACATTAATAATAGTATAATGGCAGAAATATTAAATATCAAAATACAACGCTATAATATCTAATATTTGCAAGGCAAAAATTAGCCTCGCAATTATTAGGTATTATACTTTTCTACTAGATAAAATTCAAAAATGCACTCCAAAAGGTAAAAGGAAGTGTTATTTAGGAAACTCAAAACTTAAGTAACTAAGAAAATAAGGAAGTTAGCCTTGTGCGAAGTCGCCCCAAACCTCACCTTTTTCTTAGCTCTATTGTCTCAGAAACTAAAATGTTTTATGTTGCGCTAATGCCACCAACTGTATGAAACATTTTCCCTTACATTTTACCCCACTGCTGGCAGAAAAAGAAAAGGAGAAGATGCAGACAGGGGGCAGTGTTGCTGCACATAATATTATGTAGCATTAAAATGATTTTTTTTTTATAATTGAACTGATTATATTTTTTATGACTTTAACATTAAGATCGTAGCATGCTTTGGAGCTCGTACGAAGGAGAATTTTCTTTTTTGTTTGTTTTCTTTTTAATCGCAGGTTCAACAATAATACTGACACTGTGGGCTACGTGGACAAAGACAGCAGAGGGCACTGTATCTCCCCTCTGCTCTATGAAACAGGCTGGATCCCTTTGCTCATCTCCTCAGACAACGGGACCAAGTTCAACAGAGTGGGGTCCTGGCTCTCAGGTAGAAAACACGTCGGTGCTAATCGCAGCTAAATCGTCTCTACCGCCATCTGTGGTGTCAACAAAACAAAGACTTTTTTTTTCTTTCCCTCATGTTTTCATTGCTTTAGTGCATACCGGTAAATTAGATGCTCGATTGAAGGCCGTTCTGCTCAACTCCACCAAATGGCAGTACTACGGCACGCCAAATGTCGGAGGAAGTCTTCACATGCTGTGGAACACATCATTGGTCAAAGCAGAGAGGCTCAACATAGAACTGTGGGGGTACAGAGAGAGCGGTCAGTACTGACCAACCGCCGGCCATATTTGTAATAATAACGAATAAATAAAGAGTAAAACTGTGTTGAATTCCCTTCTGTAGGAGAAGCTTACACCGACCAATGGTCTGCTCAGTGGAAGTATCTGTACTCACTGGCCACTAATTATACCAACAACGGAACCTTCGTCTTTGTGCCCAAACCATCAGAGAAGTTTTCCAGCTGGGAGCTTGGAGCTCTGCGAATCAGCTCCAGCATCCACCCCGAGGGCAGTAGGTAGGTGGGAGGGAGTAAAAAAAAAAAAAAAAAGTTTCATCCTTTATTGTCTGCTTTCCTCTAAACAGAATCATATTTTACTATGATGATTTCGGTTGCTCTTTTAATACACATTAAACAATCTATGGCAGGGGTGCCCAATACGCAGGTCGTGGTCTACCAGTAGATCGCAAAGGCTTATGTCTTACTGCGCTCCTTCCTCTAACAGATCTGTGCCCCTAAAAGGCCCTAACCCTCATTTTGGGACCACTGTCATAGACTTTGAACAATGTCATAATGTCTTATAGATAGCTTCTTGTAGCGAAGCTTCACGACGAATGATAAACAAAAAATGTTGTTAAAATTTTAATTTTTTTTAAAGTCGATTCATCTGTTTTTTTTCATAGGGACGTGGAAGCCGCCTGGTCGGAGGACCACGCTCTAGCTTGGCACCTGGAGGAAAGGTTCAGGCAGAACTCAAAGGTTTGGGCGGAGGAGAAATGTTTAGCGTGGGACCAGCTGGAACTGAAGTTGCCCAACTTCCTGAGTGAGATCACAGACTGTCCCTGCACCCTGGCCCAGGCCCGGGCGGATACCGGACGCTTTCATGTGAGTACACGGAGTAACGTGTAGTTCGTGTTTAACAGCATGGACGTATTACTGTGTTTCACAAAGTATCACTGATGTACAGTGGTCCATCGTCTATCGCGATACGTTCCGCGATAGGTACGCACGTATAGTTTATGTCTTGCAACACCCTGTATGTATGTGTTACAAAATATTGCAAAAACCTGCGATAGAGCGAAAAATCCGCAATACAAGAATACATTTAAAATATTAAAAAACCTGCGATGCACTGAGGGCGCGACAGCCGAACCACGATACAAGGACGACTGTCCTCCCAAGCTCCGACCTGCTGCCAACACCAGGATTGCTCATCAGGTCAAAGTCAGAGGTTCGTCTTAAATATAGATCCAATAAAGATCTTATCAGCGTTTACTGGCAGAGCAGCTCAGCTGTAGAGTCATGTGACCGACACACAACCACAACAACCCAATCTGTGGTCCTAATTAAAAAATGAAAAAAACACACGTGTCACGTTCACATCTTTCAGCATAACTTACTACACACAGGCTTTTGTACTACACCCCCCACCCCATGTCTCACGGTAACATTGAACTGGTCCATTCAGGTCACGTGACCAGGAGAGATCAGTGAGTCCATGTGATCAGGTCGACTGGTCATTGAGTCCTTTAATGGCAGCAATTAAACTGTTTAGGTTACGTTGTATAAAAATAAAGTAATTAAACTGATCACGACTAATACTGTATGTTATCAAAATACATATTGAAGTATTACAGAGTTACCATGGGTTTTATTACGCTAACAAAAAAAGGATCAGGATCAAAAAACACATAGTATTGGTATCAGAAACACCCCAAAGTATCGGTATAAAAACCCAAAAATGTAATGGTCTCAAAAAACAAAGTATCTGTATCAAAAAATACAAAGTACTGGTATCAAACACACAAAGTACTGATAACAAAAAACACAAAGTATCGGTCTGAAAATACAAAATATCTGTGTCAAAAACAAATGACAAAAAAGTGATCGGTATCTTATCGAATCTAAACTTCTGGTTGGCCCATCGGTATTTGTACTGAGTTTCACCTGGTTTAACTAACCAGTCCAGTCAGTCGGGTGTTTCTGAACCTGTCCTGAGAGTCCTGCTACTGTCCTTGTCTTCAGACAGACTACGGCTGCGACATCGAGAAGGGGAGCGTGTGCACGTACCACCCCGGCAGTGTGCACTGTGTCAGGGCCATCCAGGCCAGGTGAGTCCTTCACCGTCCCACCATCCCAACGTCCCACTGTCCCATGGTCCCACCGTCCCAACGTCCCTGAGTTGTCTGTGGGTAGTGGAATCTACGTCCCACCGTCCCACTGTCCCACCGTCCCACGTCCCAACTGTTTCCTGAGTTACGTCCCACTGTCCCACTGTCCCACGTCCCAACTGTTTCCTGAGTTGTCTGTGGGTAGTGGAATCTTGATTCTTATCAGTGACCTCAGTGACCCCGGGCCACGCCTGTTGGTTATATCTGTTCTATATGACATCTGTAATCTGATGTATCATCGTGTATTTACCTTGACCTGAAGGCTAGCAGTGATTTTTGCACGTATTTTAGTGATGCGATATTCCAACCGCACATTACTGCAATCAGTGAAAGAAAAAAAAAGAATCCTAAATCCTAAAAGAATACTAAAGCACATGTGTTAAACACAAGGCCCGGAGGCCAAATGTAGCCCACCAAGTCACTTTGAATGGCCCGCAGGATATAGACTTAAAAAAAAAAGTTCTTTACTAAATTAGCAATACGTTTTTGAACTTAACCTAAAGGTTAACACCTAAAGGTCAACACCTAAAGGTTTGACCTCGACATTGTCTTCCTGAACCCCTCGTCAGTCCTAAGTACGCCGCAGGACAACAGTGTTGTTACGACAGCACTGGAGCTCAGGTCCTGACCGCAGACTCCATTGGAGGAAGTACCCCCGACCGAGCGCACGACTGGGGCTCGCCCCCCTACAAGAGGCCTCCTCGAATCCCCGGACAGTCCCACTGGGTCTACGACGTCCTCAGCTTCTACTACTGCTGCCTCTGGTCCGACAACTGCAACTACTACTTCAAACACCGACCCTCCAGTGACTGCAGGCGCTACCAATCCCCCAGTTCAGGTGAGAGAGGGTTATTATGGTTAGGATTAGGATTAGGATTAGGGGTAAGAGTTGGGGGTGTGGGGCGAGGTTAGTGGAAGGGGTATGGGGCGAGGTTTGGGTTTTTGTTATCGTATTTATCGGATGGATGGATGGATAGATCTAGGTTGGGGTTTAGGATTTAGGATTAGGATTAGGAACCAAACTTTAGGGGTCAGTGTTAGTCTTGGTAGAGTTAGGATTAGTAGTGTGAGTATGGGCTGGGATTAAGTTTTTCTTGAAATCGTATTTCTTTATAATACTCGGAAGTTTACTTACAGCCGTCGTGTTTGGAGACCCCCACTTCATCACGTTCGATGGTGTCAAATACTCCTTCAACGGTAAAGGAGAATACACGCTGGTGACCTCCGAGAAAAAACATCTGACCATTCAGGGAAGAACAGAACCTGTGAACGGTGGGAGACCAAAAAAAAACAAAAAAGTCTGGAACGTCAGAAACTTTAACGAGAAACCAAATAATAATCCTGCTCTGTTACTTTAAGGAACCGCGGTCAACGCCACACAGCTGACCTCCGTGGCCATGAGAGAAGCCTCCTCTGATGTCATCGAGGTGCGGCTGATCAGCGACCACACTGGACTGGAAGTTCTGCAGAATCAAAGGATGCTGTCGTTCTCTGAGCAGAGCTGGATGGATCTGCACGGTGAGGTCCACATTAGGTCACTTCTCTGTCGACTTCAATTCAATTTAACGGAAAAAAGAACTTTGAAGGCAGTGAGCTTCCTGGTTTAACATGGTTTTAACCAGGGATGTCCGATAATATCGTCCAATATTAGCATATTAGCATATTAGCATAATTATGTAATCTCTGTAAGAATCGTTATCGTTATCCTCGGATAATGGAAACCTGAAAACGCAATGCCTGGGTTTCGCCGAATGATGTGTGCTTTAAAAATAGTTTTGGGGGAAAACAGCTGTATGTGAAAGTGAAAGCCAGTAGATGGCAGCATTGCTGCTCATTTTATTAATCTAATTTTATTAATTTATTTTGATAATGCAGGATGCTGGTGCCAGGAACTCATACAGTGGTTTGTACAGATAAATTAATAATTATTACCAGGTGCTCAATAACTTCTGGTTATTGAAAAAACATTTCTGTCCCCTAGGGGGAGCATGGCAGAAAATAATTGAGAAACACTGCTTTAACCACTGCCCCGCTATATCGCTATTGGTTGATATCGTAACTGAAAATTAAGTGTTTGGACAATAAACACTAAATAAAAGTTATTATCGGACATCCCTAGTTTTAACAGTACCAGGTGGACAAGATGAGCTCCGTCCGATACTCGACTTCACCAAATCTCTCCTGCAGGTGTTTTTGTGTTTTCTCCCAACTCCAAAAACGTGACCGTCATGTTTCCCACCGGAGCCGGAGTGGAAGTGCGTCTGACCGAGGGAACCATGACGACCACCGTGCTGCTGCCAGAGGATTTCAAAGACCTCACCCTGGGGCTGCTGGGAAAGATGAACGGTGACGCCAGCGATGACCTCATCTTCAAAGACGGCCAACGGGTGCAGAACCAGAGTAACCCGAAGGAGCTGTTCGACTTTGGGGCGAGCTGTAAGAAATCAGTGAATAATTAGACGTTGGTTTTTGTTGACATATTTTACTGCAAATTATTTACATAATTATTATCAAACTGCTTAAATTGATAATAAAGTAAAAGTCTAGAAAAATGAATAAATATATTCATACAATTTACAAATATTGATTATTAAATAAAAATAACATAATTATATACAAATATATTATGTTAGTATTAATTTATAAGTACATTATAAGTACATTATACAATATCTATAATATATGTAATATATACAAATAAGTACATTATAAAATATCTATAATATATGTAATATATACACAAATATTTATGTATTTTCTATTTAATAATCAAATATATCATTTTAAAACAATATTTTATGGGAAATATTTTACTGCAAATTATTCACATACTGTAATTACTATCAAATTATTTACTAATTGCTAATAAAGCAGAAAATATTGGCATTGTCTGTCTTCCTGAGCCCAAGCTGTAATACCCCCCCCAACCTCAGGGGGGACCAGACACACACTTTCTGAACCACCAGATAACAAAAAATTGTGTTTAATCTAGTAAACAAAATCCAACCCTGTGCTAACTGGTTACAGCCCATCGTCATCATCATCATCATCATCACCATCGTCATCATCATCTTCATCACCATCATCATCATCATCATCAGGTCCTCTCCATGTTGACCTTTGCCCTCACACTCTTGCTCTTCCTCTGGTTTTCTACAGGGGCCGTCTCCAACGCATCTGCCTTGTTTACATACGACTCACGCCACCTACTGGACACCTATTACTTCTCTCCACGACATGACCCTGAATTCACCCCTGTGTTCTTTATCCCTGAGAACCCAGACGATCCACTAGGGGAAGTGGCCTCTGAGATCTGCTCTGGAGAAGGTTCTAGTTTCTGCAGGTGGGATTTAAAATGACGGAAACTGTCCAGCAAAAAAACCAAAAACTATATACTTTAAAGTATCACTGAATATTTTTGACTGTTTTCTCTGCAGGTTTGACATCCTGGTCGGTCGGAATCCAAGGATGGGGAACGCTTCCAGGGCGTCGTTCCAGAATCACTTTTCACTCGTGGATGATTTAAAACCAGGTAAAAGAATTTATTCATTCATCTTTGTCCTCTAACTGTTTTCAGCATTGACGAGTGCTGCAGCCAATCACAGCAGTCGATGACCATTCACACTCACAGTTAGTCTGCGGTACTCAGAGTGAACTGCTGACCTAGTCCTGCTGCTTTATGGGACATTCAGGGTCACCATCTGTTTGTACGCTAACCATGTAGCTGTGACTGTCATTGACTACAGTGTGAATGACTGTCTCATTGACTACAGTGTGAATGACTGTCTCACTGACCACAGTGTAATTAACTATCTCACTTACTACAACGTCAATGACTGTCTCACTGACTACAACGACAATGACTGTCTCACTGACTACAGAGTGAATGACTGTCTCACTGACTACGGTGTGAACGACTGTCTCACTGACTACAGTGTAAAATGTCTCACTGACTACGGTGTGAACGACTGTCTCACTGACTACAGTGTGAATGACTGTCTCACTGACCACAGTGTAATTAACTATCTCACTTACTACAACGTCAATGACTGTCTCACTGACTACAACGACAATGACTGTCTCACTGACTACAGCGTGAACGACTGTCTCACTGACTACAGTGTGAACGACAGTGTCATTGACTACAGTGTGAATGACTGTCTCACTGACTACAACGTCAATGACTGTCTCACTGACTACAACGTCAATGACTGTCTCACTGACTACAGCGTAAACGACTGTCTCACTGACTACAGTGTAAACTGTCTCACTGACTACGGTGTGAATGACTGTCTCACTGACTACAGTGTAAACTGTCTCACTGACTACAGTGTAAACTGTCTCACTGACTACGGTGTGAATGACTGTCTCACTGACTACAACGTCAATGACTGTCTCACTGACTACAGTGTGAATGACTGTCTCACTGACTACGGTGTGAACGACTGTCTCACTGACTACAGTGTGAACGACTGTGTCATTGACTACAGTGTGAATGACTGTCTCACTGACTACAGTGTGAATGACTGTCTCATCCTGCAGTGATTTCCTGTGGTTGGCTCTCACCTCCGGAAAATGGGAAGAAAGTGGGAACCACGTATTTACAGGGAGCCAAGGTTCAACTGTCCTGCAGCGATGGATTCACCCTGGAGGGTTCCTCGGAGAGAGTCTGTCAGGAGGACGGCCGGTGGTCTGGAGAGGAGACCAGCTGCGTGGTTCCTAGTACGAATAAAACATAAGAATCATGACTTTCTTCTAAAAAATGACCCAGACATTAGTGGTTTAGCGTTAGCTTCAGATTTCACTGCGTCATTCTGTGTGGGTCAAAGAAAAGGCAGCGTTTCTGTGTTGGCCGACGTCAGCATGCTAACTGGGTCAGGAGGTCATTCTGATTCAGCTTGAAATTTGGGGGAGAGACTGGGGGGGGGGGGCTAAATCGTTCTGGAGACACTGTCATGGCAGCCTGTGAACACTAGAGGGACAAAAAAAAACCATCTACAACAAAACTGAGAAAAATCACAGAAATGAATGATTTTACTGAGGGACAAAAAAACATCTACAACAAAACTGATAAAAATCACAGAAATGAATGATTTTACTCAAGTGTAATTTAGTGCCATCTACTGTGTGTACAAGTGAAGTAACTGCAAGTATTTACTGTAATAAGTATTTACTCGTTGCTGTTCTTTCAGGTAACGTTGCTGGGATCGTGGCCGGTTCCGTGGTAGGAGCCGCGGCCCTGGTCCTCATTATAACGGCCCTGGTACTTCACGCCAGGAAACAGAAAAGGTTTGAAACAATCTGAACATCAACATCAGTTCAAACCAGCAGTTTTTTCACCCGACACTTTTTTTCTTTTTCCACTTTCAGAAAATCCAGAGGTTTAAATGACACCACGTCCAGTGAATCTTTGTGATCGCTGCCCCGTCTCTGGACCTCGACACTATGACGCACTGTCACTGTGGGGTTTTTAACGACAGAAATATTTAATAGATAAATAAATAAAGTCACTCCAACCGAAACACTGGACAGAAATCCCACAAGTGAGAAAAACGTGTTTATGTTTCAGTCGTTTTAACTGAACCTCAGTGTTTAAACTGGACAAATCTCCAAATTAATGATTTTTTAAATTATGTATTAATTAATTATTTTACACCTATCATTATTAATTTTAAGTATTTTTTTATTTTTCCTTTCTTTTTAATTTTTCAAATATTGGTGTACCATTAAATGAATAAAATATATACGTGCCACAGTTTAGTGATGTCTGAATTTTCTAGGAAATTAAATGGACAAATAAAGAAATCAATTTTATTGATTAGCTTTTATAGAATTAAACATGTGTAAAATTGTCAGTAAAGTTGTGTATTTCACGTATAAAATAGTTTAATTGATAACAGTTCTTTAATGATCCTGGATGTAAAATTACTATATTAAATATACTTTATTAAAGATATCGATCCTGGATGTAAAATTATATTAAATATACTTTATTAAAGATATTTTTTTAAGTAATATTTATGATGATTGAGGTGCATGAAGTACATTTGTAACTAGGGGTGTGTACTGTAGTTTAACTTTTGTTTTTGTTGATATACACCACTGTAAATTAATATATATAAAAAATGAGCATTTTAGCAGTTTTTTCTCGTTACTATCCCTTTAATGCGTCGACTGTTTGTCCAGGATGCTCAGTATTTACGGGGGTTAAAACCTTTGACCTAATGTTTTGAACCTTCGCTGGTGGAAAGGTTACAGTTATGGCCTCGTTAATAAACATCGTTCCTCTACGACGATGAATGTCTGATTCATCTGACTGATTTATTCTCGTTAGTCTCCGTTCATTATTCCCATTACCCAGCAGCCACTGGGGCTGACCACATGTCAGATTCCTCACCGTCTCGTCACTGAGTCAGACTTTCACTCTCACTCTGTCAGATGGTAGTAAACCACAGCGGTGTGTTTACTAGGACTGAGGACGCATGTGGTGAAATGTTTTTAATAGGGATCTTCGATGCTAACTTTTTCACGATATTCGGGATGTTGATATTGGCCAAACACTCAATTTTCTGATTCAGATATATAAACTGATACCGATATACGCAGCCATATTCCCCTTTCAAAATGCGGTAAACGTCTTGGAACCCTTCAAGTAATTAAAGCATATTTTTTTGGCAAATTGCTTCACAGCTAACTGACTTATGTGCTAATTTCTAGCTAACTTCAGACAGCTTCTCTAGTGTATGTAAAAAAGAAGCAATTGTTTTAGCTTTTTTTTTGGACTTTTTTTCAATTATCTTGTGGAAAATATGATTTTTTGAATATGAATTTTTAACCTATTTCTGAGCAAATCTTTGGGCAAGTATTGGCTTTTTTCTAGCCACGGTTAGCATTAATTTCTGTTTTAATGTTTTTGGATGTTTGGGCTTACTTTGAATCCGTATCAAGTTTAGCATTTTTGAAATTATCTTGGACAGCTAAGTCATTTTTTAGACAATCTGTTCAGCTAGTTTCGGATAACTTCTAATGTTTCTTTTTTGGCATTTGACCTAACTATCCACAGTTTCTGGGCTAGCCTGGAATATTAGCTATTTTTTTCTACCTATTTAATATTGACAGCACGTTAGATAAACTCTTGGATGAGCATTAAGCTAACTTTTCCTTTCACGTTTTATTTTTATTTTTCTGGTTTCTGAGCCAGTTTGTTTTTACATTTCTGACGATCATTAGGCTAAGCTAATATTTCAGCCCATTATGTAACCTTTACGGCTATTTTAGCATCTGGCTAGCATCCATGAGCTAAATGTTTTTGACTTGAGCTGCTGTTGTGGTCGGAGCTTGTTGTAAACACATTCCGCTCATTGTCAGCTAGCACCGCTTTAGCCTGACACTCATCACATGCTGATGTTTATTTGGTGTCATGTTTCTTCTTACATCAGCCGTGGCCTTTTACACTGAAGCTAACCGTGTTGTTGACAGAGCAGAGTGGGAACGTCCCGAACCGTTCCCTCACATCGCAGCAGGCTGTGAATCCTCGGCACAAAGAGCAGCAGTGTGTGACCAGACTGCAGAGGCCGCCGCCGAGTAAACCGTCCAGAGTCACTGACAAACAACTTCTCACACACGCTCCAAGGATATAAATACAAAAATAAAAAGCCAGCGTGGTCCAGTGAGGGTAACAGAGGGGTGAGAGTGGAGCGGACCGCACTGACGTCAGGACACTGAGCTCACACTCGCTCTGACACAGGTGTCAAAAATGAGTCAGCTGCGTATAAAAGCACGATCCACCTTAGCTCAGAGCTCATGTTCACTCCCTGGTGGCGGCAGAGTGTAAATCCACAGCTCCTCTATTGTCCACTGTCCAGGTCGTTAATCCAGACTGGGTTTAGGTTTTTTTTTCGAGGTGGAGCCACAGAGTTTCCAACAACTCACAACAACTCTCCCTGTGATTCCAACTTGTTTTCCAGAACATGGGGGAGCAAAATAAAATATTATCCCGACCCATTTTCTGCCGTGATGCCGGCTGGGATCCATTCCCAAACTGGACGCAGCCGAGTCGCATCCTCCAAGCGCAGGACTTTGGCTTCCCTCCTTTCCTGGAGCCAAATGATCTGGACTGGCTGACGTGGGCCAGGAAGAGGCTGGCGTCCATGTCGTGGCCCGAGTTCGCTCAAACTCCGCTTCTGTCTCCGCTCATTGGTCGTCAACCCGCAGCGCTGGGAGAAAAAGATCCGAGACATTTGACCAACGGCGTGTCAGAGATCCTGACGGGACGCGACAGCTGGAAGATTAGCCTGGACGTCAACCACTTCTCACCAGAGGACATTACGATCACCACCAAGGAGGGATACCTGCTGATATCAGGTGCTGCTCCAACATCTGATTTAAAAAAAAAGTTAAACAACATTGAATTTTACACTTTGTTTTTACTGTTATTTCTAGGAAAACATGAGGAAAAGCAGGATCAGCAGGGAGTGGTTTCAAGATGCTTCAACCGGCGGTACAAGTAGGTTCTTTTTTTTAGTTCAATTTTAAAAAATTGACTTAAAATATTAAATATTTATGTATAATTGCAATTCACAGACTAAAGTGTACTTTTTGTCCTTCACTAATGAGCGTCTTCCAGGCTTAGCTTTACATCTCCACTTCTTTGTTTTTTAAGATGGTAGAATTCCAGATGCAGTACTGCCGCCTACTGGGCGTACCTCCGACTTTTGAACATTGACTTTTCACCGTTCAAACTGTGAATGGTGTAAAAACTGAGAAAAGGCAAAAATACCAACAGAGGGCAGCATCTATTCCCCCTGTAATCATAGGAGAAGATCTGTGCTGCCCCCTGCTGTAAAAAGGCAGACGACGCAACACTGAACAAATAGATAACAGATCAATATAAATCACATCAATTTTAAATATAAAAAAGTATTATAAAATATCAAGTACATTTTACAACACAATTATAGACATGGTGTTTTTCGAGCAGTAGGGGTTCAACATTGGGTTTGTGGCCCTCGACTGAAAGGGCTGGGGGGGTATAAGTTGAGGGTACAAATACCAGCTTCAGCTCTCCAACAGTTGTTCAACACTGTCTTCCTGTGTTAAAGGCTGCCACCTGGTGTTGACCTGCAGCACATCAGCTCCTCACTGTCCACTGAGGGACTCCTGTCCGTGGAGGCTCCTGTTCAGGGGACGACCACCATGGACCTGAGCCGAGAGCTGGTCATACCAGTCCAGACCAGGGAGAGGCAGGAGAGTGCACAGTGAGGGAGGAGAGGGAGAGAGAGTGAGAGAGAGTGAGAGAGAGAGAGCAGTAAATATTTGTGGTAATGGCTAATAATAGTAACAACTAGGGATGTCCGATATTAACTTTTTGCCGATATCTGATATGCCGATATTGTCCAAATGCTTAAATTCCGAATCAGATATCAACCAATATTGATTCATAAAATAAGCTGCAATGCTGCCATCTAGTGGCTTTCACTTTCACATACAGCTTCAAAACTTTTATCAGGGGCAGACATCATTTGGTGAAACCCCGGCATTGCGTTATCGGGTTTTAATTATCAGAGGAAAAAACGTATTCCTACAGATATTACATAATTATGCTAATACCGGGCCGATAATATCGGACATCCCCAGTAACAACAACCACAATAATACTAATAATAATGTTTGAAATGAATGTTTGTTTTTGTAAATGACTTCAAAGATTGTTTTACATTGTCAAGTAAATTTTAAAAAGTAATTTTTTAATCTTTTTACATTAAGAAAGTCTAAAAGGTTTAGTTAACTTAGCGAAAACTAAAATCCCATTCATGCTAATTAGCATGTTGTATCTCATCATAGATCTGAGTCGAGTGCATTTTTCTGTTTAATTTCTCTTTGAATGCAGATGAAAAAAAAACTTTATTGTCGTGGGTTTAAAGCATGTGGTTGTATTAACTGACGTCAGCCTCACGAAGCTGTTCTGATGACGTCACCGTCAACAACTGTCTTAAACAACTCCTAATAAACAGTGTTGTTTTTTCCCCCTTTATGTCACGTTTACACCGAGATCACGTGATCAAACGAAGTGGATTTTGTAGGTGAAAAATTAAAATTCAAACTAAAAGTTAAATTACACTTTATAAAAAATTCAGTCCAAAAATTCAATAAAACCCATCAGTGAAAAGAGTAAATGGCCGGTCGCGAATCAGGTGTAATGAAGCCTGAATCATTGAAAGGTAAACACTGACATCTAGCGGCCGAAAGGAGGCATGTATGGTGAACTAGATCGAATTTATGCCTTTCTCGGTTACAGAACTTCAGTTTGGAAGAATTAAATATATGATTATTAAATAATTAATTATATATCCCCAATAAATATATTATCATATGACATTATTATTATTATTAACATAATAACAGGTAGCTGTAAGACAACAAAAACTATTTTATAAATTTCCCTCCAGTCACCTAAATGTCTACTAGTAAGTAAAATATAATGAAGATGAATTTAAAAAACACTAGAGTTAAACGACTAATGGGATATTAGTTAGCAAAGAGTATTAAATGTAACAGAATTGACTAAAGATAGCTAAAAGTTAGCCTCAAAGTACACTAATAAAGTTAGCTGTCGAGGCTCATGGGGCCTCAAGAAGACCTTTCAGGTACCTCGGTCAGCCCCTGCACCGGACTTTGAACATACCTAGGATAGAGACAGAACAATTGTTAATTGTCATACAAGAAATAAAATATAACACGCACCAGAGTGTTGTCAATTCATTCGATTATACGAATCGTATTATCGGTTTATCGTCATTGTGAATTATTATCGATGTATAAAATCGTGTTGGAGCCGAGGCAGTGGTCTGTAGTACTGCGGTGTCTCTTTAAAGGAAGGGGGAGTGTAGAAGAGGGACACGGAGCGGAGAGATGAATAGAAGGCACCAGAACCACCTACCATGACCAAGTGCGCTCTGAATGTAGGACAGAACCTGGAGTGGAACCCGAACGGATCACCCGGCGACGCACTGGAGGAAAAACCATGTTCGGATGTGCCTTATCTGAAGCCACTATTTTTACACACGGCCCCACAGGAGATCATGGCAGCGCAGGAAAAGTCTCTTTCCTCCCCAACCGCCCCTGCATTCTGGGGCGGAGGAAAAGAGTGAACACGGCAGGAGAGCACAGCTCCTCCGGTTATCAATGGTAGGCATTGCATAATTCACCCTCATCCACGGGAGCCGGCGGGACGCAGGAGAGGAAACAACACGAGAAAAGGGGGGAGAAAACGTTTTTGCCGCTGTCTGCCAAATGCCCTCCTTTCTCCCAGGAAGTTCCGGTGGACAGTAGCCCGGGAAGGATGCGTTTAAGGCTGGATGTGGGCAACGTTCTGGGGGATTCAGCATCATCTCTGACAACATCATCCGGAGAAGCAGAGGGCAGCAGCAGCAGCAGCAGCAGCAGCATCTCCCAGTCCCACTACCTCCTCCTTTTCCTCCCCCCCTGCAGGAGCATGCTTGCGTGAGGGATGAGGCTGTGCACAGGGACACCAGGCCAGAGCTGCGGCCTACTTCTCACCAGAGCCGGTCTCTCGACTGCAGGAGGAGCCGTCGACACATTGTTGCCTCCACCACCACCACCACCACCACCACCACCGCCACCATCACATCAGCATCTTTGGTAACGCAGCGCCACCAACAGCTCCACCTGCAGTGTAGTTCACGTTGGGAATTTTCTTTAGTTTTAGTTTTTTATATATATATATATATATATATAATAATTAAGACACGCGCGTGTGAGACGTTACAGTGTATGTGTGTGTGTTCTAAGCTGTACATCTGTAGTCATGGCAACCGTATCCTGTTAATGGATGTCATTTTTGCCTCCATCCTCAGCTCCCCTCTCTGTCACCATCGCTGCTGCTGCCTTTTTTTTAAAAATTGTTTTTTCATATATAAAAAAAATCTCCTGCTGACTGTCACTACTGAGATCTAGATTATGTCATACATTTTTTTAAAGGCACATTCACACATTTTTTTTTTTTTTCCTGGCGGTAGTCGTCTTGCGTCGACGTGGCCCAGAACGCCGTTGGTTCTAATCATGACATCATGGAGACAGATAGTAAATCCTGACTCTCATTCATCACAAAGACATTGATTTTTGAAAAAAAAAAAAAATTTTCCCCACACATTCTCTTGTTAATAACCTGTATTTTAGACTGCACTGCAGACTGGTCTGATGCACAGTGATGATGTGAGGGAGATGAATATATATATATATATATATCAAGTCTAAATATATATGACAAAGGTAACTGTAACTGTAGGGGGGGGGGGACGGGGGGAGCAGTGTCTTTAAAACAGGCACTTCTGTCCATAAAATCAAACACGATTTGTTCTGCAATTAAAGGTGCATGATGTAGGATTTCAACCATTTGGCATGGCAATATATACATAAATATATATATTAATATCAATACATATATGTAAAAAAATATATGTATATATCATGATATTCCATGTATTGAAAACCAATACAAATATATTATAATATTTATATATTTATATGAATGTAATATTTTTTATGAAGGTTTCGCGGTGCTTTACCTGGTTACAGTCGTTAACATCCAGAGTGAGTATTCCCTACAGAGGCGTCCATGTTGGATCTGTGTGTGTGTGTGTGTGTGTAGATTCTCAGTCTGGATTAAGAAACAGTTCTAAATATAACAAAAAAAAACAACAACAGGGGTGTCAAACTCGTGGTTCAGGGGCCACGTACAACCTAATTAGATATAGGTTAAATGATTATAACTGTTTAAAAAATATCATTGATAAGAGACGGGAAAGAAAGTTGTACCCAGAGGAGGTCAAGTACACAGTACTCCGAAGTAGTGAGTACTATCTGACTGTAAGAATACACTGAAATGGTTCAAAATATACTACGCCTTATTCTTCTGATCTCAGCATCATTAACTCTGACGTTAGATTCAGTAGATAGAGAGTAGATTCAATATTAGTACTACTTGGTACTACTATAATACTTTGCTGTTGGCAAGCAAAACAAGGTTGAACAAATCCAGCAACAACAGCCTCTCATTTGTGGTTAATCTAGAGTACAATTTGTTTTTGACTAAAGGCCCATGCCATTGGGTCCCCAACCTCTGGTCTGTGGACCGATACTGGTCCGTGTGTCTATTGGTAAAGGGCCGCAGAGAAAGAATTATTCATGAATTCTCTGGGTCACTTCTACTCACTTTCTTCATCTAAAGTTAATCTGGAACTTTTTTTTCAAAATAGCAGAATAAAGTCCTGTGACGATCCACAGAACGTGGTACAGATCGGTACCGGCTGATCGGTCCCTGGAACAAAAAAAAAAGTTGGGGAAATGGATTCAACCACAGCAGGGTTAGAGGAACAACTGTTGGTTCTGGAGAGGATTTATAGAAGAAAAAAAAAGGTTCTAATGAAGAGCGACGACAAATCAGTCGTCAGAAAATAAAGTTGTGATTTTGAACCACCATGTCATGGTGACATTTTCAGCACATCATTAATATGATTTATTTTTAAATTAAAATTATAAAGGTGGACGTTTGTCTGTGCTAAACTGCACTTTAGCACCCTCTGCTGTTCATGTTTGCACCATTCATGCCGTATAAACAGTGTAATCATTTAAATATTTATGGACTCATGTAAAATATTTCCATATTTAATGGTGTCACTCGTTGGAGTTTAGTCTCAATTCAAAAATCTTTTTTTTCTAAATCAACCCAGAGGTTTCCCATCTAGACCGTGGTCTAGACCGTGGTCTACGGTCTAGACCTGGACCACATCACATTCAAACCTGTTCAGAACCTTTAAATACTCTGGTACCTGAGCCGTACGTCTTTGAAGTATTAGAGGAAATACCTGGGGAATTCCCCGTACACGTATGAGAAGAACAGGAAACCTTCTTCCTGTAAGGCAACAAAGAAAACCACAGTTACACCAACACCACAACAACAGGCAACTTTTTGTCTCTGACTCTGGGGAGGGACCGTGGGATGGAAAGAGACGGCGCCACCTTTCAGTTTAGATACATTTTAAATAAATATTTTTAAAGACATGTTTATTTTTACAACATCATTTCACGACAGACGGAGGAAAAATAATTAACGTAGTAATTAAAAGTATGGAACTCTTCTTTAACTGAAGAGTTTTCTGTCCTTATTTTTTCAGGTTATTTACATAATTTAAATTACGATTGGTCAAACAGTGGTTGAGCGGTTGATGCTCGTGCCTTACAGCAAATGGGTCACCTGTTCGAACCCCAGTGTTTATGTGTGTGTTTTCTTCAGTCTCAACAGTCCATTTGCAGCAGCAGCTTTAGCTTCACTCATCACTCCAAACTGACCATCGGTGTGAATGTTAGTGTGAACGGTGAGTGACTTTCTATACATGTGATGGAGTGACCTGTGACCTCCACTTTCACCCCAGGGTCGTGACCCCTCCCCTACAGTATTAACCCTGAAACAGCGAGTAGACGATGAGGGAGTACATGTTGTTTCTGTCTGGGGGAAAATAGAGGTTAAAGCACTTTTATGAGTCGATGCCAGGTGGGAACGGTAACGTGAGTTACTGAATTCTTATTTTCAGAGTGGCCGACAGACAAGATGCTAAGAGATGCTACGATGCATGAGCCAATCAGCGTGAGGAACACAAGAGCATGCTCAATTAGCCAATAGTACACCGAGTATGCATTGTATTAGCCAACAGCTGTGTACCACCTCGTCTAGGTTAACAAAGCTAGCAGCGGTCGTTCGCAAATGCGCTTATCGCAATTTCAAACCGAGAATCCACATTTTTAAAGCCAAAACTTTTCATATGTATACTTGCGTATATGTTTTGCTACATTTCGCAATATAGCGAAAATGTCACGAGATCGGATTAAAAAAAAATCTGCGATTTACTGAGGGAATGAAAGGAAAACCGCGATAAAGAGAGAGAACACTGTACTTAAGTTTTTTTTTTGTATATCTTCATGATCGTAGTGGATCAACGACTACTGACACACCGCTGCTTGCGCTCCCTTTTCAGGCCATAACCCTTAGGTTAATTATCCCTCCTGTAACTGTGTGTTTTGACCCCCGCCCCCATATGTGTTCCTCCAGGTCATCAGGTAGATCCAGGAGCATGAGCAGGACTTTGAGCTGCGGGAGCAGATGTCTGGGTATAAGCGCATGCGGCGGCAGCACCAGAAGCAGCTGATCGCCCTGGAGAACAGGCTAAAGGCCGAGATGGACGAGCATCGGCTCCGGCTGCAGAAGGAACTAGAAACACATGCCAACAACACTTACATTGAGCTGGAAAGGCTGGCCAAGCGGCACGCTGCTCAGACGGACAAAGAGGTGAGGGACCTCCGCGGCGAGTTCTAGTCGTGTGAAACGAGTAGAACTTGAAGTTTCTCAGCACGGACGGAAATATAAGGATCGTAACGACACGGCTAACAGTTAGCCACTAAAAACACAACAAGAATGTTGAAATTTGAAAAATAGCCAAAAATGAGTTTAAATTATTCAAGTGAATAAATGATCAAAATACTTGCTAGCTTTACACAAATAGAAATAGCAGTACGGAAAATACAGAAGAAGACAGAAAACTGTTAGCATACGGGCTAATGCTGTCGCTGTTAGCCTGTAATTTTCAGCAAAGAATGCTAAACGCTAATGAAGAATATAACAAAATTGATGAAAGATAAAAATGTATAAAAACATATATGCACACATATGTATGTATTTATAATATTTAATTCCATAGAGTCTCACAGGCCTCACAAGTAAAATTACAACAGCCTTACCGCTGATAGCCCAGAATTTAAAAAGAAAAATTGCAAAAACGTTGCCAATGATATTGACATTTTGATAATAGTTAGCCAAGCTAAAGCTAAAAGTTAATAGTTAATAATTCAATGACAAACTTCATTGTTTCCTCACAGATTAAGTCGGTCG